GCACTGTATTACAAAACTTAGAGGTAAAATTCAATTAATAAACTACATCTCAAGCACCTCTTCGGCAAATACAAGATTACCGAGGGAAAAAAGAATTTTCAAATCGCGATTTACTTCGACGTTGGCCAATTCAAGTTTTCGGCCTATTAGTTTATGGTAAAAAAAGTAATTGATGAAGACGAAATCGTATCACACTCACTGGTTTCCATTTCCCAGACGGAAACTGAACCATCTGTACACGCAACCACCATGTAGTCGGCTGCGGGACGCCACTTGATGGTGACTACAGGGAAAATATGTCTGGAGGCAAGCATAATGCACTTCCTTTCTTTGAGACTCAACAAGGCCACGCTGTGATCACTGGACACACTGCACACGCAATTCAGTATCCTTGTCTGAAACAAAGATAGGAAACAGCAAAAAAAAAAAGGAAAGAAATCGAGTTAGGAAGGTTTCGAGTTAAGAAAACAAGCATTTTTGTTTTGGGGAAGAATACAATAATTACAGGACACTTCAACTGGTGATATTTCGGAACTTAAATTACTTGAAAAGTTGACGGGATGCTGAACTTGGAGGAAAGGGTTCATTAGCCCAATTAATATTTCAATTCCTTTTCAAACGCATGAATTTACATTTTTATCATTTTTCCTTTCCTGCGTCAATAAAATAAGACAAAAGGCCTCCAGGAAATTCTAGTAAGGGAGGATTGAGGGGGAAAGCCTTCGAGCTATGAAGGTTTTCAGAAATTGTTTCTATAAGCGACTCAGATGGCGTCTAAAAAAAATTGACCCAGTATTAAACTTGAGAGATTCAACTTATCGTGGTTCAATTATACTGTACTGCATTTCTATCATCAACTCAAGTAAACGACAGTTTGACACAGTTAAAATTCATGTTGAAGCCCCGCAGGGTGACTCACAGATGGGAAACAAATAAGGAGTTATTCCGCAACTAAATTACTTGTGAATTTCGAGAGTGGAAGAACTGAGAAGTTAACCAGCCCTAAATCAGGAGTTCGGAAAATGATCTGTATTTACATTTAACACCGATTATTCAAGTAAACCACACCTCATTCAATAAAAAAATAGCATACACTACTTTTCCCTCTTCTTAGCTCACCCCACAATCCGGCGGCGGTACGATCAATTGTGTGATTTCTCCTCCCTGTACGCAAAACTTGTACAACAAGGCGCCGGTTCCGAGATCCCACAGGTAGACGCAAAAATCCGCCGAGCCCGAGACGAGGTGCGAAGGATCGTAGCGAGAGTGTTGATTGTGCGGGTAGACGAGCGTAGTGACTTTGGCCGCGTGTCCCAAGAACACTTGGTGCACGGGCCAGCCGTCAATGCCTTGATGCTTACCCGAAAGCAAGTGCAACATGATGGTGTGGGTTGCGGACACCATGACGATCTGGCCGTCGTTCGTGCCGCACACAAGCCGACCTTGGCTCGGAATGAACAGCGAGCAGGTGATTCTTTGGTTCGGATGTTGAGGGTCACGTTCCTAGAGAGAAAAATACAATCCATAAATCCATTACTGTACTCACACGAGTGTAGGCCATACTAAACTTCATTTACCGGTCGTAAGTTAGGTCATCTCATGCTAAATAATTTTTCTACGGTTCATTCGGATCAAGTCGCGCAATTTTTGGTCAGTCAATAAAGTGCTTTTAACAATTGGATAACCTTTTCAAGCGAAACCACTGAAGCAGGCAAAATCGTGGGCTTGAAAAAATTTTTACTCGGCACTGGGATTCGGGTTTCAGGACCCTGTTGACTTCACAGAGACGGGTAATTTTTCCGCTCAGAATTTTAGCTACAGTCGAATCTCGCTCAGTCGAACTTCAAGGGACCAGCACAACAAATCGAGTTAGTGAAGTTTCGAATTTAAAAAAATAATCATTTTTTGGGAAAAAAAAGCATTAAATTGTTCTTCTAATGATTTGAGAAGATACTGAAGTTGAAGGCAAGGGTTTATTTGCCCGAACACTTTTTCACTTCCTTTCAATATTAGTCACATTTTTACTGCTAAGCCAAAAGGACTCTGGAAAATTCGAATTACGGCGGTTTCAGAGGGAAAGTCTTTAAAATAAGGGAGGTTTTTAAAGCACTACTTCTAAGGGAATTAATGGAAAAATTTTCACAAAAGGCGGTTTTCGACTTGGAGACGTTCGAATTATCGATGTTTTACTGTACAGTATTCAACTACAATATGATCAATGATCGCCCAACTCACAATTTGGTCCAGAATGCCAGGAGGAGAAGGAAATGCTCGGTCAAACGCTTCCTGGAGACTCAATGAAGATTTCGGCTCCACATCTGAATCAGCATTCCATGAATTAAAAAAACAGAAATGAAATATGATGATGAAACGGAACACGCACTTGGAAGAGAAGCAAAAGGTTCTTGTTTCATTTGCGATATCTCTTTCGCCGACACTTCAGGCACGTTCCAAACCGCCAATCTCCCAGCGCAGTCCGCGCGAATCAGGTACCTTTGCAACTGGCCTCGTTCGGGCATCACTGCAAACACGAATCTTGGTGGACAGTAATGCGCCTGAAAATTCGTCAAAACATGTATGGATTATCATAGCACTAGAACAAATCAATTTTTTTTTTTTTAAGGAGGTCAAGTATCAGCAAGACATTATTTTAACGATAAACGAAAAATTTCCCAGATTGGGATCTCTGACAAAAAATTTACTTATAAGTTAGAATTCATCAAGATGAGGATTCCGCGGGAACATTAAGACGAGAGGCTGGATTCTTCAAGCATAAAAAAAGATTGATGCTTCGAAAATCCTATCTTCCGCGTACGAGAATATCGACAATTATCAGTATCTTTTTGAAATCTTATCATTGAAAAATCGAGATTCGTGAAGCGATTAGAATCAATCCTGACGGTTTTTTTTCTTCTCATTGTGCTTCAGGTCCTAAATAAAGTTCGGAGGAGAAAAATGCAAGACAGCGTTGGAAAATAAATAAATCTTATCTCACCGTATCGTTCTTCACCATCAACTCGCAGAACAAGAACGCTTCGTCTTCGCCAGATTTCTGTGTCCGAAAATCTCTGTTCTCCGCTACAG